TTTTTTTTTTTTTTTTTGTAAACCTTAACCGAGTTGACGGGTTGTCATTCATTCATTCATTTGATGAAATCTGTCGGGTATTTAGATAACTTAATTTAAACGTAACGTTTTTTTTTTTTTAAAAAAATTTGATTCGATGTAAACGATAGACTCCGGTTGTTTTACTGACGTCAAACGTTTAATATTTGTTTGTCGTAACTTTTGTTGCCCCCCCTCCCCCGCCATACCGTTCGCGAACGACAAAAAAAAAAAAGACGTGGTGGAACGTTCTAGAAGGATTCGGTATTAAAATAATTATTTTATAAAAAAAAAAAAAATTATTTGTCTTTCTTTCACTACGAGATTATCAACCGATGGAAAATTTGAATTATGACTATCGTGGCAGAAAAACTTTTTTTAATGTTCAGTAATAAAAATTTTTTTTTTTTTTTTTAATGGGGAACACAAGGAATAAGGGGAGGGAGAAGGGAAATTATATTAACTAACCCTTATCGATGATGATCAGGTTGTGTCCGTCCGTGTACGGCCTCACCTACGTCCAGGAATTTTTCTTTTTTTTTTTTTTTAATATCATTATTATTATTATTATTATTATCATTATTATTATTATTATTATTATCATCAGTGAAATAACATCATCTATTTAACTTATCAATAATAAAATAGTCCTCACGCCGAGTTCCCCCTCCTCCGCCCTCGCCCCTCCGAACTCCCTCCCACTTCTTTTTCCACGTTCCTTTTTTTTTTTGTTGTGTGTGTGTGTGTCAACGTGGAAATAATTTATTATCGGTAACGTGAACCTAGAACTTTAAAATTTACTTATTATGAAATATCAATTTTACTTTTTTTTTTTTTTTTTTTAAATTCTTAACTTTATTTAATTAAATTCCGACGAGTTTAAATTTTTTGTTTTGTTAACGAGTCGCTCTAGTTACACGAAGTTAAAACCGTTTTTTTTTTTTTTGAAAGGGAAAAGGAGGGGGGGGGGTTCGTACTCCCGCACGCGCGTGTGTGCGTGCATGCGTGCGTGCGTGCGGGCAAACGAAACCACAAGACGAAAAATTTTAATGCGTAATAAAAAACGTAAAAACGTATTTTTTTTTATATTTTCTTAAAGCTCCAAAAGAATTTTTATATAATGCGATTTCCGTGAAAAACAATTTTAAACTCACGCACTCACGCACTCGCATACGCACACACGCACGAACTCACGCACTCGTTTACGCGTAAAAAAAAAAGAAAATTTATTTTATTTTATTTTTATTAAAGTCCCTCGGATTTATAACGTATCGATTAAATTAACATTAAAATTTTTATCATTTTTTTTTTGGGCTTTTTTTTTGGGGGGGGGAGGAGAGGGAGGGCGGGAAGGAGACTTGACGGGGGAAGAGGAGGGGAAGGGGGGGTAGGCAGTGGCGTAATAAGGTAATTTAAGGTACGCAACGAGTGGTGATAAAAATTTAAATTTAAAAACAAAAAAAAAAACGATAATTAAAATTTTTTTTTGTGCGACGACGACGACGACGACGACAATTAAACCCCCCAAAAATATTTTTATTCTAATTGTTCTAGAAAGTTTTAAATTTCCACGACGAGATTTATTTATTTATTTATTTAAATACTCATATTAACAATAAATATTATTTGGTAATAATAATCAAAAAAAAAAAATTTTTCGACTCGGGTTTAAAACTCTTAAAGGGGGAATTTTTTTGCCCTTGAAAACAACGTATTTCGCATCGATTATTATTATTATTATTATTACATTTTAATTAATTAGTTTTTTTTTTTTTATTCGGTTGGTACCACCCCGAAAAATATTTTAATAATATATTTAAATAAAATTTTTTTTTTTTTAGAAACAATAAAATGGCGCACGTTGAATTTGTGTGAAGAGAGAGAAAGAGAGAGAGAGAGATAAAAAACGATTAATAAAATATTATTTGATGATGATGATGATGATGATGATGATGATGTCGACGACGACGGCGATGATGATGATGATGATAATGTAAGTAAAATCCATAATAAATTAAAACGTTCAAATATCAATTAAACACCTTTTAACTGACAGATTAACGTATAAAAAAAAAAAAAAAAAAATTTCGTAAAACAATGTTTATATATATATATTTAAAATGGGTCGCGCGGTGGTAACAAAATCAAAAAAAATGACCACCCACATAGTATCAAAATGACGATAATGATGATGATGATGATAATATTTTACTTCTTGTGTAACATAACCACACAAAAAAAGAAAAAAAACTTGGTCGAACAACACATGAAATTTTATTTTAAACGATTTTATTAACATAAGAATTTATCGATTTAAGAAAGGAAAGGAAGGACAAAATGAATTAATTAAATTTTTATGTTTTTCAATATTGAAAACGATATTTCTAAATTTCCGGTATAACGAATAAAATTCGTCGTCTGCTTTATAAAAGTAAATAAATAAATTAAATAAATAAAATAAAAAGTGGATTTACGTGGGTGATGTTTAGACAGTCACCGCCATCACTTTCGTTTCGATGGACGCTAGTTATACATTTTTTTTTTTTAAAATTTGTTTGTCGGGGGTGGGGTTTGTCAGGGGGGGGGCTTTTTTTGTTTCGGTTGTTTTTGAAAAACTTACCGATCCGTAAAGTAAACCGCAGCGATCCATGCAGAGAAAGTTGCACGTGACAACACCTTGTATTTTTATCTGATAATTATTGATGGAAGCTCTTTGAAGAACGGCTGAAACGAAAAACAAACAAAAAATGATTTTAATAATGACGAAAGTGAACGTGTCAGAAGAAAAAAATAATATAAACTAAATCGAATGGTCGAATGATTGTGTCGCTCCTTGTATTCACGATGATGATGAAAGTTGTACAAAAAAAAATTTTTTTTTTGAATGAGAAAATTAACGAACTAAGGAACGAACGAAGGAAGGATCGATCTGCAATTTCCTAGAGCCACGTCTTTTTTTTTTTTTTTTTTTTTTTTTTTTTTTTTATGATTTACAATGCCGCTTTTTTTTTTTTACAAAATGTTTTAACCATCTTTTTTTTCCTTCGTTCCTTCGGGGGGTATCATCATAACCTATGCGAGTACATAAATTTAAATAGATTGTTTTTTTTTGAATCCGGCACACGAGTATCACGTGATAAATTTTTCTTTTGTTATTGTTGTTGTTGGTTGGTTGGGTAGGGGAAAAATGGCGCTAATAAAAAAGATGTCGGTGAAAGAGAGAGGGAGGAAGGGAGGGAGGGTTTTAACGTACTTACGACTTAATATATATATATATATATATACGATCGAACAGGTTTAAAAAATCTCATCAATTTTTTGTTTATTGCAGGATAATCAATAACATTTTTCTATTTAAAATAATAATAATGATGATGATAATGATGATAATGATGATGATAATAAATGAAAAATTTTTACGTTTGTCATTTAAATTTTATATTTATTCGGTCGCGCGTGTTTGTATATGTATATATTTTTCGAAAACGATAAAGTTTTTATTACGAATCACCCCCCACCACCACCACCACCGCAGATAAGACGGAAAAAAATGTCATAGAGAAAATATAAATCGATATTTTTTAATTTTTTGGGTTTTTTCGTTTAACGAAATTTTTACTCAGCATGGCTTCATAGTTTTTCTTAAAATTTATAAAAAAAAAAAAATAAAACCCCCTCGACGACGGCGACGACCGATTATGACCGATTATGACCGATGACGTGACGATGACGTGACGGTGACGTGACGATGACGGTGACGATTTAAATTGTGAATCAAAACAAGTTTTTCGCGGCAAAATTTTTTTTTTTTTTTTTTTCGTTTATTAAATAGAAATTTAAAATATTTTCTTTAAAAAAAAAAAAAACGAACTTATTAATTATTGTTATTATTAATCGAATACTTTCTTCCGTCACGTCACAATTATTAGTATTATTAATAATTTTTTTTTTTTGTCTCCTGCCACGTGTGGATTTTAAATTAAATTAATTACATAACGATGATGATAAACGTTATTCGTTATTTTTTTTTTTTTTTTCGTTTTAAAATTTTTTATTAAAAATTTTTTATCGTTAAAATGAAATTCGTATGATGATATATTTCATAGAATAAATAAACGAAACAAAAATTCAAAATTAAATTAATAATAATAATAATAATAATAATAATAATAATAAATAATAATAATAATAATAAATAATAATAATAATAATAAATAATAATAATAATAATAATAAATAATAATAAATAATAAAAAAAATATTATTATTATAAATGAAAACAATCAACCCGATTAGATTTTTTAATATTTTTTTCAGTTTAATTTTTTTAAATAATAATAATAATGATGATAATAATAATAATTTATTAACCTGAATTATAGCGCTATAATTTTTTTAAGAAAAAAAAAAAAAAAAGAAAAAAGGGGAACAATTTTATTAAATAGAAATTCAAACCGATAGGTTGAAAACAAAAAAAAAAATTAAAATTTATTATATTATATTTATAATATGAAAAAAAAAAAAAAATTAACGAATTAAAAACTTTTTATCTTAATTTTTTTTCGTTTGTTGTTGTTGTTGTCGTCGTTGTCGTTATTTTGGTTGTTATTGTAACGATGATTGTCTTTCTTCGATAATATAAATTTTGTTAAAAATGAAACAGGTTTGGTTGGCAATTGGGGAAAAAGAAAAAACTATAAATTAAATATATATATATATATATATATATATATATATATTTTTTTTTTTTTCTGTGGAAATGATGAACAAGAAAGATGTTTTTTTTTTTTTTTTTCCCCGTAAAACCGGCACACATGCAATATATAACTCGAAAAAATTTTTTACATTAAATTAAAATTAAGTGCAAAACCATACTAATAATAATAATAATAATAATGATAATAATAATAATAAGCCTTTTAAATTTATTTATGTATATACGTATTTGGTTAATATGGAGTTTTAAAACGTTCATAAATTTTTTTTTTTTTTTTTAAATTTTGTGAAAGAAAGTTAAATGTTAAATAGATTTTTGTTTTGAAAAGTGGTAGCAGAAATCGACGAGTGTCACTAACCTTTTCTCTCTCTTTCTTTCTCTCTCTCTTTTTTTATTTGAACGAATAGAAATTTAAATCGACTAACGATGGGAATTTTAGGTTTTTTTTTTTTTTTTGATTTTTCGAAATGTTTTCCCAAAAAAAAAAAAAATGTATGGTATTTAAATAAGATTTAAATGTGGCTAAGACGTTTTATGGTATGGGTTTTTTTTTTCCTACGTGTTTTATTATTATTAATATTATTATTACTATTATTATTATTGCTATTATTTCGTTATTTATTAAGCGTTCGTTTCGATGAGAAAACGAACGTAAGAGAAAAACGATTCGTTAAAATCGTCTCGTTGCAATTCGTTCGTTCGAGTTCGTTCGGGTTCGTTTGAGTTCGTTTGGGTTCGTGTGTGCTTGTGCGTGTGTGTATTTTGTTAATTTGTATAATTAATAAATTTTTTTGTTAATTAACGTAAACGTTCGTTTAAAGAATTTTTTTTTTTTTTTTTTAAATAAAATTCAATAACGGAAATAAAAAAAAAAAAAAAAAAAAAAACAACCATTCATCATTATTATTATTATTTACATTTGCCAAATATGTAATACGTAAATATCTATCTAATAAATTGTTCAAACTACGATTTGACAACAAAAAGCAAAATGCAAAACTTTAATTAGCAGACGATTTTTTTTTTTTTTAAATAACGTGTCTACTAGTTACACGACGTGCGATCGTAAGAAAAAATTAAACGCGTTGTTTTAAATGGAAGGTGGCGTGAACATGAGATTCGTTCGGATGAAGGGGAAGAGAAAGGGGGAAACGACGCCATTTTCAAAAAGGGGAAGTGGAGTGGGGGTAGGAAGGAGGAAAATATCATTTAAATTATAAGTAAATGAAAAAAAAAACAAAAAAAAATTCAATTAATACAAAAATCCGGTCATAAATTTTATGTTAAATATTTATTAAAAATAACAGTAAAAAACGGTTTTTGAATTATTTCGGCGGGATTTTTTTTTTTTATAAAGTGATAAAAAATCAATCGAAAAGAAATATATATTTTTCCCAAAGGCGGGGGTAGAAGGGGGGAGGATGAGGGGAGAAGGAAAGGATTCGTTTCAAACGTAAAAAAAGAATCACGGTTTAGATTTATGAGTTTTTCGTATTTTAATTATTATTATTTTTGTTGTTGTTGTTGTTCTAGTTGTTCTAGTGTTTGTTGTTGTTGTTTTTGTTGTGGTTGTTCTCATAGGTAAATGAATTTTTTTTTAAATGTATTTTTAACCACCCAAAAAAAAAATTGGGATACAAACTGGGAGGTCTGAAAATGTTACAAACCGCAAAAAAAAAAAAAAAAAAAAAAAACCTCTGAGGAAAATAAGATTTCTTTTTCGGGGAGGGAGGAGGAAGAGGAGGGTGGTGGGAGGAAAATAAGATAGGATAACTCTTATAAAATGTCTGTTTTTTTTTTTTTTTTTTTTTTTTCGATTCCACGTTTAAAATTTAATTTTTTTTTTATATCTTACCCGAAGATATTATAGCTACCGCGTGAGTTAACATCGTCTGATAACTTATCATGCGTGAATATTTCTACGAATATTATTATTATTTTAGTTTCGAAAAATATTTTTTTTCAGGTACGGACAGGTGTCAGACAACACGTCAAAATTTTTTCCAAATTCTAATTTACCAGTTTTTTTTTTTGTTTGATTTTAAATTTTTTCCTAATGACCTATATCGTATTTTTATTTGTTATATTTACAGATGCGAGAGTAATTTTCAAAAGTGGCAGCAGAAAAATAAATTTTTTAAAATTTAACGGATGCGCGCCGATGTTTTCATTTGTTTGGGAGAGAGAGGAAAAAAGGAAAAAAACAGGAAAAGTAAAGGTACAGATAATAATAATAATAATTTTTTATTTATTTTATTGAATGGATGGGCGGGTGCGTGAGTGCGTGAGTGCGTGCGTGCACGTGCATAAAATGACAAGATTCCAAATTGATAAGACGATGACGATAAGACGATGCGATAACAAAAAAATCTTTTCTGGAATATTTGCTGGAAATAATTTATTATTATTTTTTAAATCGTTATCAAACGAAAAAAAAAAAAAAGGTGGGGGACTTTTTTTCGTGTCCCTCGTGGAATGAGAGGGGGAGGGAGGGTAATGGGAGGGGGGAAATACCCATTTAAATTTATATAAATCGATACCGGCACGAATTAAAAAGAAAATTAATTCATTTATTTAATTGAAAAATTAATGTCTACGTTTTACTCTCTCGTTAATCTCTCTCACTCTCTCTTTCTCTCTTTTTTTTTTTAATATTTTAATTGTTTAAAAGTAACAGTATTCGATGCCGGTTTTAATTATTTATAACAAATTAAAAATCAAAAAAAAAAACGAACGAACGAACGAACGAACGTGGGAGGGAAACGTTTTAACGTATTTAACACCGCGTATCGTTAAATCAAAATGGCGGCTGCGGCGGCAAATCATTTTAGATTATTATTATTTTTTGTTTAAACCGTAACCGATCCATCATCGAATTATTTAATAAAACGGTTCGTACTTATTTATTATTATTATTATTATTATTATTTACATCGATAACTATTAATATCTTTTTTCTTTTAACGGATATTTTTTTTTAAAAAAAAAAAAAAAAAAAAATGAAAATTGACGTGGATTAGGTTTTTTTTTCTCGTGTCACGATTTTCACGTGTGATCGTTTATATTGAGAGAGCGAGAAAGAGAGAGATAGAGAGAGAGAAAAACATCAACAGTGATTATCGTAGTTGTGTATACGCCCCCCAACAAAAAACAACTTCACTTTTCACTTCATTTTCATTTTATCATACTCATTATTATTATTATTATTATTATTATTATTATTATTATCATTATTATTATTATTATTATTATTATTATTATTATTATTATTATTATTATTATTATTATTATTATTATTATTAATTCAACGTGGAAGTAGAATTCGATTCGGAAATTTTTTAAATATTTA